CATTGCAACTCTACACATAAACTCCCTCTAGATCCACTAGTGTTCTCCACAAAAAAATTATTTTTCTCAAAAAGCAAAAAAAAATTCAAGTTAATAACTACCAAAAATAATGTTCCACTATAAAATTAAAGTTCTGTTCCACAGCAAAATTACATTTACTTAGAATGGCTCTTTTTTAGATTTAATTCTCTTCACTAGCGTCACGAAAGTAAAGAAACTTCCTAAGCGTGGATGTAAATTCTGGAATTTGTTTCACATGTAAACCATCGCCTGTTGTGCCACTCCAAGCTGACATCCTCATTGCAACTATCGTCATCATTGACAAGACATCATGCGTGTTACGGTAAGTATTGAAGACATAGCATAAGTGCCTAATAAAAGGACTACCATCAATATTTCGGTAAGAAAAATTCGTTTTAATGGTTGCAAATGACATCAAAAAATCTGATCCAAATGGTATTATTTTGTTGCTCTCCTCATCATTAGGATCATCCCTGGCAAGTACTCCACGGTTATCAGTTCCTCCTCTGCATGACTGGATAAAAAGGAGCTTTGGCTTACCACGTAAACCTTTTTTGGTTGTTTCAAGTCTGTCTTTAATGGCTGAGACTTTATATGGATTACATTTCTCAACAGTTTTACCTTCTTCTTCAACCTTATCACATGTATAAAAAACAGTATCACCATCTTCATCGGTATTACCATGAGCGAGGATAAACATAACAAAGCAGCTTGACTGATTGTGATCAGTTTTTTGCACGTTTGTCATTAACTCATCAATTTGACTTCTAGAAAAATCCTTGTATACTTTAAAGGCAAATTTAAGAGTACCTTTAAACAAGGAACGTAACTTTTCGACATCTTTACCATTTCCTGGCTCACGATCTTCTTTTTTTCCACTCATACTAATAACTAGGCAGTAGCCACGTGCAGGTGTTGTATCCATCTTGTATTGATCTATGTCTTTGCACTTGAACTCCTTAGCCTCCTGATCATCAACAGGAGGAACAGCATCACCATCAGCTTTAAGAGGTGGGAGATCTAATTTTTTTAAAAATTCAAAAATAGCATGGGATTTAAATTACATTCATAATTTCCAAGCCAAAGACTATCAGTCCTAGGGCAAGGTGATTATAAATTTCATTATGTTTTGTTTTAAAAGTATGGTGACATGATAATAGAATGATAGGTTCATTTATTTTTATACGCACATTTATACAGAAAAATGGATTACCAGATCTCTACCACTATAAAATGCACCATTAAGTAAAATACTACCCATGAATGGTTGAAAATCAGAGGAGGTAGGACATGGTTGACAAATAATATAATAATAGTGTCTAATATAGTGTCTATGACAAATAATGCTACCGAACTTAGTTATATGCAAAATGCAATGATGTAAGAATAGATTTGCTCTTGGAATATCAAAAGGCACAGGACAAAGGACTTTGGAATTCAATTCCTGCATGACTAAAATGTATAATTACATGTACATATGCCATGTGCAATTATAATGATACCTGTTATATCTTCATTATTAAGTATGAGTTTTTGAATTCCATTTCTTAAACTATCAGCTGCACGTTTGATAGCTTTTTTTATAACAGCCCAGATTGGTGCAGTACACTCAAATGTTAGATCGCTGTGATGAACAGCTCTCAGTGCTATGAACATGGAGAGATCTTTGAACTCTTCAGTGATGTAGTTTTGAAATGTTGCTAGGGTTGTCTCAGATGGATTCCATGACACAACAACAGTCATCTAAAATTAATAGTATTATACTGTAACATACTGTATGGCGGGATTTATTGACGAGTAAAAA